TTGACTTTGTACCAAAAGATGTTCTATAGAAATAATTCATTGTTATTAAAATATGCGAGTTATTCTTTAGAAATAATCGGCAATGCAGAGATTAATTATATGAAACATTGAAAGCGGTATATAACGTTCATTTATTTAGAATTACTAATATAGTTCGACGGTGTTCAAAGCTTGATTATAATGAATTCCACCAGTAATTAACACATTTCCATTTGTTAATACAGATGCTGTGTGTTGAGCTCGTGCATAATTCATACTAACAATGTGAATCCAAGTTCCTGTTGATGAATCATACAATTCAGAAGTATCTACAGAACCGCCGGCATAACCACCAGTAACTAACACATTTCCATCTTTTAATACGGATGCTGTATGATGAGCTCGTGCATGGTTCATACTATTAACGGTCATCCAAGTTCCTGTTGATGAGTCATAAAATTCAGCACTATTTAGATATTCTCCAACATCACTAGTTCCACCAGTAATTAATACTTTTCCATCTTTTAATATGGATGCTGTATGCCCATATCGTCTATTATTCATACTAGAAATCGTTGTCCAAGTGTCTGTTGATGGATCGTACAATTCAACGCTGTTTAGATACGTATTATGATCACTACATCCACCAGTAACTAATAATTTTTTGTTCAATAAAACTGATGCTGTATGTCCATATCGTACATTGTTCATATTAGTAAGTGTTGACCAAAGTTCTGTTGACGAATCAAATACCTCAACACTGTTTAGAGCTATACCATTACTAATAATGCCACCAGCAACTAACACTTCTCCATTTTTTAATAAAGATATTGTGTGTGACCTTCGTGCATTATTCATACGACCAGTAGGTTTCCACGTTTCTGTTAATGATTCATACAACTCAGCGCTACTAAGAGGACCTTTATCATCGGCTCCACCAGTAACTAAAACCTTTCTATTTATTAATATGAATGTATGGGTAAACCGCGCATCATTCATACTACCCGTGATTGTCCAAATTCCTGTTGATAGATCATATAACTCAGCACTACTAAGATGATCATCATTACCAATTCCACCACTTACTAACACTTTTCCATTCATTAATACACAAGCCTGGTGGCCTCTTCGTGCATAATTCATGCTATCAGTATTAGACCAATCTAAACAGAAGATGCATTCGAATGTATTTAGTTTGAAAAAAAAGATATATCATTGCATTCTGGACATTCTCTAATCTTGAGGGAAAATGTTTATTTTTTAGTAAAATTCAAATCGTTCCCTCCTTTTTATTAATAAAATCTTATTGAAATCTTGGAGACTCTCAACAGTTCTTTCATTTATTGTAAGGAATTATTCACGCTACAATACAAAAGAGAGTTTCGTATTTTTCATAAAACATCGTGCGCGTAAACAACAGATAAAGTAGATCTATGTTTACTACTGACCGTTTCATTATTTAGAAGAATAAATATGCTTTTGATTGTAGTAATCTTCTATTGAATAGAATTATCCAAATAAAACTTCTCATATAAAGAAAATACGATGGAAAACAGTAGCATCCGCCAAATTATCGACTGAATTGAAAACCGATTCGCGGCTCAATTAGATAGTCGATTGAAAACAAACAGATGTTATAAAGACTCAACGAAAAAGATTTACTCTTTGTGAGATTTCAAGCATCCACAATCTACATTCCGTGCAGATGTACGATCATTAGATCAGAAAAATACAAAATACTGTCGAACACACAGTAACTATATACATATCCCTGACTTAAAAGTTACATTCAGTGATGTTGTCAAACATTACTCTACAGCTTACTTGAAAGTTGAGTAGCGATCTCGGTTGTTGTTGCTTCTGTTGATATTATCGTTGCTAGTGATGGCAGTGTCACAGTAGTGATTTCTGATTCTTTCGGTGCAAAAACGACAAATTTTAATATTAATGAGAGAATAATAGCAAAAATTATTAAAACAATAGAAGAGGTGCTGATAATCACAATCCAACAACGTTGCCACCATTTTTGTGGTCCATGACTTTCAGCGATACCTTCACTGTGCACTTGATTGTTATTCATAGTATGCTTTAAAAAAACTTCAACTAAAAATAAAAACAAACTATTGTTCGAAAATACTTTATATTTATATATCATTCTTGGCATTTCCTGAAAGACATCACCATACTACGAGAAATAAACTTTATCTAAACATCCTAACGATATATAGCTCGTATGCTAAATTCTTCCGGGTTTTGCTTATAAACAGCGCACTCTACCACACTGCAAACTATTTCGCCTAAGATTCTAACCGAAATGTAATTTAAAGCTCAAACTCAATTTGTTCACTATCTCTGTAGTGCCCGTAAGAGAACGAAGCAACGAAAAGCTAACAAGTAGACTATAAATTAGGATTTTTCGCCTTTGATCACCTTTAATAAACCTTTATAAATAAAATATCACTTGATTAGTAATCATTACTAGGAACTAATAGAGAATTGGAACTTTTCATTCTATACTTAAAAACGTTTGGCAAAGTTTTAAAAAAATGATTATTCTCGTAAAAAATATGCTAACTAGGAAAGTATGAAAAAAGTGTGAAGTACTGCACAAGTAGAAACATGTCAGATAAAACTCGTGATGATATTCTCCAAGATCACTATTCTACGTTTTTCACATAATTATAATAAAGGCTAAAAATTGAAAAGCATCATACTTCAATAAAATTAAAATATGATTATGTGAGAATGTAAGCGGACGGCCTTATGGCAAAAACAATTCTACAACAAAGCAAAAAAAGAAAAAAAAATAGAAATATCATGGTCCCTTTTTATTTCTGATACATATGGCATTGTTTTCTGGCTCGATGGTAGTTGAGCAGTAACTGAGAAAAGAAAAGCATTACAGTCAGTTTCAAATTTATCAACGAAGTGTTTATTCCTTTATATACATAGTTGAATACGAGATGTAAAATAAAATACACTCAGACGGAGAAATCTCTCTCTTTCTCTCTCTATGCTAACGCATTGCGGTATGTATGCACAAGACGAAAGATTTTTCTTTTTCTCTCATTTCACTTTTACGTGATAACTTATATATGGGAAAAAATTCATGTGCAAAAAAGGAAACATCTGCTTCTGCTTTTATAAGGTAACTACTAGATAGAAGAAAAAGTTGATGTGAAATTTAATTTTGCGTCAAATTCATAAAACACGTTTTTCTTCGTATTAAACTTAATTGAGATATGGCGATATAACAGATAGAAATATACCGACTTTTGATACCTCACGATTAAAATTTTATGAAAGCCGAATTAGTCCATCTCTGCATTTTCCAGAAATATATAACAATCGATGCATAAATTCACGATGCATCTTTTGATAACAAATTAAATCTTTGTTGGAAACCATTTTGTGGTGTCCGATGTAAATTACTGAACTGCATTATTAACCACTCCTTAGAGCTATAACTTCATCAAAATATTTGAGGGTGTGAGTATGGTTATTCACACCCTTAAGATAGATTATCGAACAGTTTAATTATAATAACATCGCTAAAGTCTCAAGAAAATAGTACATTAAATATTACATTGTTATTATTGATTAACAATCAATAAAATCATATTGACAAGTATATCAATGTTTTAAAATTATATCAAAAAGAATGACTATTTTTTATAATTAATTTCCATTCGATTCTTAATGTTTTTTTGAGTAAAAATAATTTATTCTTAATATAAATATATTCAATGGTATAGGATAAATTAGATTTTTTTAAATTGAAACATGTATTGTTACAGAAATAAATCAGATTTGAGTGTCTTCTACAAAAATGTATATGATAGAAACTAACAAGTCTTCCAGATATCATAGAGAGTCAGGTTTTCTTTGTGCTTCTTATAAAATCTACATATGTAATCTCATTTCTAATAGATTGTGTAAATAAATTAGGAAAAAACTTTGAATATGATCTCGTTATTATTTGTACTAGAAAATTATTAACCTTCAGATGATCGATATTAGAATTTGTCAAGTTTTAATTGTATCTATATAAAGAAATAAAGTATTTCAATTTATTTCACTATCTATTTGTATATAATTGTATTATATCTATGAAAAAAGATTAGAGACAACTTATAGTTAAATATATTATATTATATTAACTCGGAAACTAAATTAACTGAGATACTGATATATCATGAATATGTACAAAATCTAGATATAAAACTTAAATGACGAAGAGATTGGAAAGAAGAACAACATGATTCACCCACAAGTTGTTCACTTCGTTCACTTTTACAAAAATGAAAATATAATATCGATGGGAATCATATTTTTTCAAGAATAAAAAGTCTATCCTATGAAAAGTAATGATTTTAATAACAGGACTTAAATACAACTAGTATAGTAGTAAATACTTTTAAATAGTATTCAAAGATGATTAAAGTAGACGAAAAATAAACGAATGTACTAATCGTAAATATCAATAAATTATTAAAAGCTCATATTTCTATCCACATTTTTCTACAGTGATCATTCGTGCATAGATCATTTTGCTTTCATCTGTCAACGAAAAAACTGAATCAAAATCGGGCTAGTAGTTATATAGTTTGATTTTTGTTTATTGTAGTGATCATTGATACATAAACTACGTTCTTTCTATATATTATCTAAAAATGATCTCAGTGATAAGGTAAAGGGCCTTTATAAGAGTAATTTCTACAATGGATTACTAATATGTTTTAATGAATGATTCTTATGTTGACTTTTTCAATGCAATAAAAATGTACATAAAATCAATAAGAAGAATGACTCGTGAAATGATATTTGATTTTCATCTGTTCATTTAAATTAATTAAAAAATGGATGATTTTGCTAATTCCTATTAGATGAGATGAAAAATTATTAACCTTTTTTTTTTTATAGTTTATTGCATTTTAAACATCTGACAAAATATTGTAATATGAATACAGAACAATACGAAAGTAAAAAAGTGTCGCATCTACATTTAATCGTATGTTAATTTAAATAGTATTTTGTAACATTTCACGACCCCATTTAATTATTGTTTGAACATCAGGTGTAGCTTGAACAGTAGTATTAATATCTAATCCATATGATTGCCATTGTTGTAAATTAAGTTTTGTACTTATACCATTCACATTACATGTAAATATTGCTTCCGTACCCTTTGGTATATAAATTTTATTATTTGCTAAATAAGGTACAAATAAATCAGCTGTATTACAATCATCAATTTTGTAAGGAACTGGATTTTTATAAAGTATACAAGTATTTTCAATATAAACTTCATTCCATCCGCTATATCCTTGTCTAGGTGCATAATAGTCAAGACAAGTATTACAACCGAAATCGTCTCTACCTGCATCTGAATATACATACATTTGATGATGATCTTTTTTTGAATGACCTAGATAATTTTTTTTTCCACCATACATAAGAAAATTATAACTATCTTCATAAAAACAACTACCATCATCGTGATCAATAGGCCATAAAGCATTATAATTATTAAAGATGGTATTATGATGAATATAACTGCCATGTTGCCAAAGTGATGGTAAACCAGATTGTAATGCATCACTTAAATATGGTTGTCGATCCCATGTATTAATAGCACCATGATCACTAGTTTCTCGTACAGTATTAAACATTACATTCCAACTGAGAGTATGATTACCATAGAAACCATCATTAATATTAATTGCTG